TTTCTAACCTCATAGTGTTGTGGTCAGAAAAGATGCTTGATATGATTTCAATTTTCTTAAATTTACTGAGGCTTGCCTTGCCTTGTGGGCCAGCATGTGATTTATCCCGAAGAATGTTCCACGTGCACTTGAGGAGAATGTGTATTCTGCTGCTTTTGGATGGAATGCTCTATAAATATCAGTTAAGTCCATCTGGTCTAATGTGTCATTTAAGGCCTATGTTTCCTTATTGATTTTCTGTCTAGGTGATCTGTCCATTGGTGTAAGTGGGGTGTTTAGGTCCCCCACTATTATTGTGTTACTGTTGATTTCTCCTTTTATGTCTGTTAACAGTTGCCTTATATATTGAGGTGCTCCTGTGTTGGGTGCATGTACATTTACAGTTGTTACATCTTCTTCTTGGATTGATCCCTTGAGCATTATGTAATGTCCGTCTTTGTCTCTTGTAACACTCTTTATTTTAAAGTCTTTTGTCTGATATAAGCATTTCTACTCCAGCTTTCTTTTGGTTTCCATTTGTATAGAATACCTTTTTCCATCGCCTCACTTTCAGCCTCTAGCTCTAAAGTGGGTCTCTTGTAGGCAGCATGTTCATGGGTCTTGTTTTTGTATCCATTCAGCCAGTCTGTGTCTTTTGGTTGGAGCATTTAATCCATTTACAGTTAAGGTAATTATTGATACGTATGTTTTTATTGCTGTTTTGTTGTTTTGGATTTGTTTTTGTAAGTCTTTTTTTCCCCTTTCTTCTTTTTGTTCTCTTGTGATTTGATGACTATAGCATTACATTTGGATTCCTCTTTCTTTTTCGTATGTATGTCTATTATAGATTTTTGGTTTGCAGTTACCATGAGGTTTTGGTGTAGAAGCCTGTGTATATATATGATTGTTTTAAGTGGCTGATCTCTTAATTTCAAATGCATTTTAGATGCCCTGCACTCGTACTTGCCTCCCCTCAGGATTACTGGTTTTGATACCATTTTTTGCATCTAGTTGTTTTGTATATCGTTTAACTGCTTATTGTGGATACAAATGATCTTTACTACTTTTGTCTTTGAACCTCCGTATTAGTTTGTGTGTGGATGATTTCCCACCCTTACTATATGTTTGCCTTTACTGTTGAGGTTTCCCTTTTTGTAATTCTCTTGCTTATATCTGTGGCCTTTACTTTTCCACCTAGAGAAGCTCCTTTAGCTTTTGTTTTAAAGCTGGCTTGGGGGTACTGAATTCTTTCAGCTTTTGCTTATCTGTGAAGCTTTTGATTTCTCCAACAAATCTGAGTGAGAGCCTTGCTGGGTAGAGTATTCTCGGTTGTAGGTTTTTCTCTTTCGTCACTTTAAATGTATCATGCCGCTCGCTTCTGGCCTGCAGAGTGTCTGCTGAAAAATCAGCTGATCAGAGTTAGTAATCTTTATAGCTAACACTCATGCATTTTATTCTTTGAAGGTTTAAGATAAGAATATAGTTGAGAGCCCGGGTTCTGGGGGTCAGACTTCTTGGCTCTGTCACTTACTGTATGTGTCATTTTGGCCAAGTTACTTAATCTCTCTGAGGATCACAGTAGTATCCACGCTAGGATCACTGAGGGGGTTAAATGGCACATGTGTGTGATGTGCGTCACACATCCCCTGACACAGCGCGATACACAGTACTTTCTGTTCATGGTTCCTGAAGCCAGAGTGAGGTATCCCAAGGCTCAGTTGAGAGAGTTCTGCTTTTGTGAGTTCCAAGGAGCATTGCTTTCCTTCCGCATGAAAGCTGCTGTGGTTAACCCTGAGATCTTTTGTAGTCACTTTATGTTAATTGCAAAGAAAATTCCAGAACATGCTTCTTCAGGACAAGTTAGACTTTCAAGTTTTTGAGTTATCTCTTTGATCATATCTTTTGTGATTGGTAGTCACTTCAGGGCACTTCTGGAAATGAGTTTGGAGGCCAGCAGGTGGCAGGTAACACCTTCAGGCATCACCGCCTCTCTGAGACTCTCCCTTGATATCCATCACCTCCCTCCTCACTTGCGTTCATCACTGATTGATTGAGCAGCACTGCCTTTTAGTCTGTCTGAGGCTCCGGAGATCCAACGGTGAACAGACAGTTCCCATTCTCATGAAACTTAGTCTTGTGGAAATGTATGTAAACACATCTAATCCACCCTGATATGAGCGCAAGTGGCAGTGTGGAGAAGGTCAGAGAGGTGCCTAGGGAGAATGGTAAGGAAAGTTGCACAGGTTTGGTGACATCTCAGTGGAGGGTGAATGGCCAGGAACAGGGGAAGTTAGCAGTCAGCCTGGTTTGTACAGGAGGACCAGACCCTGTGTCGGAGGATGTTGGGGGTGATGAGAGATGGAACTGAAGATGGAGGCAGATGCTAGGTCGTGTAAGAGCTTCGCCTTTATCATGTGGACAGTGGGTGGGTGGCGTTGAATGATTTGAGGCAACAGAATGCTGTAAGACTTGCGTTTTTAGCAAGATCTTCCTCATGCGGAAAATGAACTTGAAAAGGATGTAAGTCAGGCCAGCAGTTCCTTGTCCCCACCACACATTTACAGAGACCAGCAACAGAGCCCTCTGCATCCTAAAGCCCTGACTTTATAGACATTTAAGACACTTTCTGGAATAAAGACAGCCGAAGTTGAATTTTCCAATTCTGCATCCTCTCCCCAGAACACGCTGACCTGGCCCTCCATCTGTCATAAGCAGCTCAACTAGGATCCTAATAAATTATTTTTTCTTGGCATTCTTTTAACTGGAACTCTATTTACTAGCCCCTCTGTGCAACTGTGGTGTGGTGATGATGGATGCTTATAATTCTGGCCCTGAAGTACTCCAAGCCTTCTAAATCATCAAAAAAAGATTAAAGTGTATTCAATATTGCTGTAATGTTTGTGTGTTTCACTGCATTCTTATTCTTTGGAAATTGATGGTTTATCGAGTGCCCGAGCCCTCGTGTGCATGCAGGTGCAGGGAGAGCCTGTGACCGCTCACAGCTCTTCACTCCCTCACAGCACCAGGCACAGGGCGATTATTAGCAAAGTGCACTCAGAAATAAGCAAAACAGACCTGGGTTCTCTTCATGTTTAGTTGGAGGAAGCAGGTGGACCCCAAAAGGGCAGACTAGACAGAGATGAGAGAGGAAGAGGTGGTTAGAAAACAGTTCAATCAAGTGCTGAGGCAGAAACTGGACAGACAGCAAGTCGGCCAGTTTACAAGTGGCCCAGCCCAGGGGGCGCGGGGCTCGGGCCCAGACACCAGCTTCGCCTTCAGGTGCACGTTGATCCAGCTCGGATCATCCATCTTGGATTTGGCAGTATTCCCCACCAGCTTTATTTGGATTTGCAGTAACAACTGTTCAGTAAAATGTCAAACATTAGCAAGTGAAAACATCGATAATCAGGGCATCCTTTTCCCCCCGCCCCCCGTACACACATCTTTTCATGAAAACCGTTATGACTGCCGAGCTGACAATATTATCTGGCCCAGAATACAGAGCTCCAAATAGAAGCTGTGAGGTGGCTCCGTCTTGTAACCTGGCTTCCAGAGCCAGGCATGTGATGCTGTTATTAGGAGGGAGATCTGCTGTTGGCACTTTCTTTCAGGGGTTGTGTGTTGCAGTAAGTAGAGGTGCCGCTTACATTTTCTCGTACAGATTTGTTTTTAAAATCTGCCTGTTTGATCAGCAAGTCACACCTGTGTCCAGATGCCTGGAGGGCCAGTCCCTGAACCACAGGGAATCTGTTTGTCACCCTCTGGACGAGGGCACGTTTGGACTTTCAAGCTGGTTTCATCGTTTGCCTGCTCTGAGGTGTGGTCTCTTCGTCCCTCTGGGTCTTAGTTCTCTCTTTTTCTGACATATTGGAATGATACAAATTCCTTTTTTACAGGGTTGCTGTGCGGCTGAAATGAAATGGTGGTTGTGAAAAAGCGTAATTGGAAAGCCCTATATAGATAATAACATACTAAATATACTAAAGAACATCATAAATATTCTAATAAAAAATAGAAATCTGTTTCATCAGCAAGCACGATGTCCTCAAAACTTTCCCCAAAGCAGAGTGGGGAAAATAAACTATTTACTGCATCCCTGCTATAGATTCTAGCTGTTACTTTATCCACTCTGCAAAGTGGATATTAAATCCCTGCTCAAAGTTGTGGAAACGGAGGCTTCCAGTCCCACAGCTGTCCATGTACATGGCAGAAGTGGGGTTTGGACCTGTGTGACCCCAGAATTTAATGCTCTTTTTCCTTATATCTAGTTGCCTGTCTTATTCCAATCTCCCACCCACCCAAAGTTCTTAAAAGCTTTTTACATCCTTTGGGACTAGAAAGTTTGCTAGCCCTTTCTTGGTCATTTGCTTCTGAAAGCGGGGTGGGGCATCAGAAGGAACTCCTGAGCCCTGGGAGCCCCTGGGGGGACCAGCAGTGTGGGGAGAGCCCGGGGTGGGGCACACCCAGCTCCCACTTTTAGGGAGCCGGCCAGGCCTGGACTGAAAGCAGGAGGCAGGCACGGGGCATTTCCCCACCCTTGAGGAGGTGGCTGCAGCCCTGTAGTTTCCAGAAGTTCATCTTTTCTCTGTCACAGCATTTCCCAAGCTCCCCGAGGTTGTTTGGAGAGCTGCTTCTCGGATCCTCCTCTCAGGATCATTGCCTCTCGTGGGTTCTGACCGGCTCCTCGTGCTGCTTGGGGAGGGAGTGAGATTAAGTTTATTCTGTATAATAACCACTCTGCTGAGCTATTTTGGGACCTTCCCTGTTAACACTGATGTTGGGTATCGGAGGAAAGGACCCCTGATGGGGGGGGTTCATTAAGTGCCCAGTGAGATGTGGTGCCTTATGCATCTTCTTTTTTAAATAAACTTTCCCCAATTCTAGACACACTGAGTCGGCTTGTGAGCTGGAGCTGCCCACACAACCAGAGAGAACGCCTGTCGGAGGGCCAGATTGACTATTCAGGGAGATACCCGAGGGTGGGAGGCGCATGTGTTCAGGCTGAGGCTCTGTCCCCACAGGTGCTCAACAGGAGGTGCGTGGAAGCAGCCGTGATGACCGGCCTGGCCCTGGACTGCCGCATAAACAAGAAGTCCTTGTTTGACAGGAAGCACTACTTCTACGCAGACCTCCCGGTAAGTACGCTCTGCCGTCCGCCCGTGGCAGGTCCTCGGAGCCGGGGGTTTGCAGCCAGAGGAGGGCCGTGTGCTCGTGTCTTCAGCTGGAGTTCCATCCAGCCTGCCCGATGGGGGACTCTGCCCGGCCCTGATGAAGCCCGTGCCCCCTGACGTTTCCTAGATTGGATGCCGTGGTCCTGATTGCCGACTCCTGGCCCAGCCTCATGCTTCTGGTGGCTGGCTCGTAATTGAACGGGGAGTAGGAGCCACCCACGTTCCCAGGCTCAGCCCTGCCGTGGCGTGTGGTGCTAATTGCCTGTTAGGGCAGAAGCTGCCTCTGTGGCTGATGCAGGGGTCAGTGCATCGGTGGCTCTGGAGACAGCGAGAGCGGCCTTCCTTTTAAGTGGCAGCTCCCAGTAATAGGACTGTCTCCTTTGGAGATACTCCTGTCATCTCCCAGGGACCATGTAAGTGGACAAGAGTGAGCAGAATCACGAACCAGAAGCCTGGGCAAACAACAGTAATTGGCCGAGCAGCGAACCCTGTATTAACCCACTCTTTCCTTAACACTAGAAAGTTTTCTCCTTTAAGAGAAGCCAGTGTGAACTAGAGCCAATTTTTCATAATACTGAACTGAACCAAAACTGTAATGTTGAGTGGGTTTCCCAAAATAATGTTTCATGCATTCTGAGCCTCTGATGGCAAGCGTGGCCCTTCTTCAGATGTAGGAACACAGTAGTGATACTGTTTCTCCATGTGATTCTCCTTGAACTGAAGACAGGGGTGAGCTGTTTTCAGGGGGTGAGGGCAGAGGTGGAATTCAACACAAAATACACTGAGAGCCTGAGTTCCCTCCAGTTGCTGTTGCTTTTTCCCCCGGGCTGCCAGCCTTTTAGCAAATTCTCCTGCTTGGGAGGGTGGAGAGAATTCAACTGCATTTTTTTCACCTTTTGAGAGTGATGAGCAGTTTGGTTAAGGTGGGAGACTTAGCAGTGTGAGACTAGAGTGAGATGTCCTGATGATTCCTGCGTCCTGGTCTCTCTGGCCCAGGCAGCTCAGATCCTCTGCAGTTAGTGTCGCCAAATAGCACATGGGACACACTTATACTAAAAAAGTACCCGTTTTTATCTAAGTAAACAGTTTACTCAAATTATTCTAGTTTGACTGAGCATCTGTATTTTATTTGGCAACTGTCCTCACACTTTAATTTTTACAAATTGAGACTTCCTGTCTCAGCCCTGAGAGTAAGGTGGCGGAATGCGTTGGTTCTCAGAGTGTGTGCCGCAGGCCACGAGCATCAGCATCTCCTAGGACCGCGGGAGAAACAAACACTCCTGGGCGCCTCCCCAGACCTGCAGAACTGGAGGCTCTTCAGGTGGGGCCAGATGGTCTGTGTTCTGACCATCCGGCCAGGTGATTTCAATGCCGTTCACGTTTGAACAATACCTGCTGAGTGGCCAGGAGCCCGGACCCTGGAGCCAGACCAGCTGAGTTCAAGCCCTGACATTAGTACTTAAAAGCTCCGTGGCTTTGGGCAAGGGCTCTTAACCCCTCCGTGCCTTGCACCTCTCTCCTAGGGTTGTCGTGAGGGTTAGACGGCATGAAGCACTGAGAACAGTGTATGGGGACGCCGTGTGTCTGCTCTCCTCCTGTTCTCCACTCTGACCCACCCTCTCTTCAGTGCGTACTGGTGCACGTGTGCCTTTGAAAGTCACTCTTCCTCCATTTAGAGGGTGGTGAGGGAGTCCTTGCACCATCCATCAGTATTTTAGTACTCCGTGTTTTCTGTTAGCCGAGTGTGAGTGTCACCGCATTTTCTGGCTAGAGGAACAAGCGAAGTGGGGTCAGGGAGGGCAGCTGACGTGACTGGTTAGCTGAAGAGCAGGAGCAAAACAAGCTGCCCAGCACGAGCCACTGCTGTCGGCTGTCCTGAGAGGAGATGGGAGATGCTAAGCCAGCAGTTCCCAGTGAGGGGGGCCTGTCAGGAGCCCAGGAATCAGATGCAGGGCGTAGCTAATGAGCTACGTGGAAGCAGTATGGCACTTTCTTAGAGAGTGATATTGCTGTTATTCCCCAAAATGGGGCTAGGTAGGGAAGAGGCCAGGCTAAGGTATGACCCCAGCACGTCAATTAATTCTCCTTCTTCTTTTCCTTTTTCCTCTTTTTCTTGCTGTGTTGCCTTTTTAAGTAAGCCTAGAGTTTTGTGACAATGAGAGGAATGGTAAACTGGTCCACAGCTTTTCTTTACTGACTCTTGACCCTGTGACCCGTGTTCGCGTGCAGGCGGGCTACCAGATCACCCAGCAGAGGCTCCCCATTGCTGTGGACGGGAGCTTGGCATACAGCGTCTGCGTGGGGAAGAAGCGGGGTCAGGCGGTCGCCAGGACAGTGAGGGTCCGGCAGATCCAGCTGGAGCAAGACAGCGGCAAGAGTCTCCACGATGACCTGCGGTCCCAGACGCTCGTGGATTTGAATAGGGCAGGTAGGCGTGCAGAGTTTTCCATTTCCCTTCCTGCCTCCTCTCCTCCCCTCAAGGTTTTCCCAAGCCAATGGAGGAAACAGGCCTAGGGAGCCTGACGGGTGGAGATGAGGGTCCCAGTGCTGGCAATAGCCAGTTCAAGAGCACGGCTTCAGCTGTGGCTGCTGTGGGCTCGCTGATAACTCAGCCCTCAGGTGAGCCTAACAGAGCCGCCTTGTCACGGACCCAGCAGCTTGATAGCTGAAGCAGACAGGAAAAGAAAAGACCCAAATTTAAAGACCCACAGGTGAAGGCAGAAACGACTGAGAGGCTGGAAGCCACTTTGAGAGCCCGTCAGTGACGCAGGGTTGTCAGCCTGATTGATGTGTGGCTCAGATGGGAGGCTCCAGTCAGGCTGACTCTGCCTCTCCCTGGCAGGGGTCGGCCTGCTGGAAGTGGTCCTGGAGCCCGACATGTCCTGTGGAGAAGAGGCGGCCGCGGCCGTCAGGGAGCTGCAGCTGATTCTTCAAGCCCTGGGGACCAGTCGGGCCATCATGGCAGGTAGAAGCCCCAGGGGCGCGGCCCCCCTCCACCCCTCCCTTCACCCTTTCTGCTCCCAGGAGCTCTTCTCCCTGGAATGTGGTTCCCCCATCGGGTGATTTGCATCCTTTTCTCAGCCTTTTCTCCCTCAGGGGCTTTTCTTTTTTTCCCTTCAGAGTTTCCTTGGATTCTTCTCTGAACTCCCAACCACAACTAAACACACCAGCAGCGGCAGTGCCGAGGCGCCAAGCCCAAGACTGTGAGATTAGGCGTTGAGAGACTAGAGGCTTTCTCCTGGCTTTTTGCATCAGAATGTTGTGAGAATTAATAAAACAATGTGTTTGAGCAGCTTCGTGGTCCTCAGAGAGGAGGCACAGTGTTTACCCAGAGAAGCTGTCAGTTCATGAGTTCTGTGCGGGCAGTGCTTAGTTGCTAGCTGGTCCTTTTCCTTTGGGTCTCTTTCTTTTCCTTCATATATAGACTTTTCATCCAGGTACAGCTGAAGCCAAATTATTTCGTCTGCAAACCAAGGTTATGACTTCACAAAACATGAACTGTGAGATAAAAGTCTTAAGTTCAGTAGAAATGTAATAGGGAATGAAAATAAACAAAAGAAACAAGGTGCAAACTTGGGACCAAGCAAACTAATATTTGACGTGTTTACAGATCGGATATAAAGATGACAAGTTTTAGTCAGACTCAGTTTCTTCACGGCCCCTTCCTAGCACAGCTTTGCCGGCCCTTACGTCCCTGAATGCTCATCTCTCCCGTGGTTTTCCCATATTTTCTGTTCCCAGGGAGGGGCTTTTAAAAAAACTACCACTTGCAGAGCACTCCTGACAGAGTGGAAAAAGGGTCCAGATTCCTCATCTACAGTTGTTAAGCCATAGCTCAGGACACGGGGTCTTCCAGAGAAACAGAACAGACTGTGTGTGTACGTGTGTGTGTCAGATGTAAAGAGACTGATTATAAGGAATTGGCTCATATGATTGTGGAGCCTGAGAAATCCTAAGGTCTGCAGTCAGCAAGCTGCAGAAGGGTCAAATGTATAGTTCCAACCTGAGTCTGAGGATCTGAGAACCAGGAGAGGATGTAGATTCCAGGCTGAGCCAGAGCCCAGCGCCGAAGAAGACAGATCGGAGGCAGTGGGGCTGAGACAGCGAATTCCCCCCATTTCACCTTTTGCCCTGTTCAGGTTTTCAGTGGATTGAATGAGGCTCACTTATAATGAGAAAGCAGCCTGCTTTGCTCAATCTGTGTATTCAAATGTTAATCCCTCACAGACACACCCAGAATAATATCCAACCAAATATCAGGGCACCCCTTGGCCCAGTCAAGTTGACACATAAAATTAACCGTTGCAGGTGGTCGTGGGGTTCCCAGCAAATACCATTGATGGTGATGAGTCAGCTCCCTGTCAGTTTATGATACTATTTACCAACCATTTTGTCACATTTGCAAAGGGACTTTGGAATTTATCATACCACACTTGTCACACAGGACGTCGTACAGGCAACAGATTGTAACATCAGAGTCCTGGTGCAGGTTGAACCTGGAGACAGAACTTGCTTGTTTGCTATCTTCTTTAAGCTGAAGGTTGAAAAAACAGCCATGTGCATTTGAGTGGCGTAAAGGTTAGTGGCCTGCAAGTTTGCTTTGTAGAAACGAGGCTCTGTTTTAGAGGAGGAGAACGCTCCAGCTTAAGTTTCTGGCTCGCGGGGCTTTTTTACCCACAGGTTGGATGGTTATCTGCATGTGCACTAAGTGTTGAGTCTCTGTTGCTTTAGAAAAGTTATTCCATTCTTCCTCAGAATAACTGATTCCCACCGAACCTATGGAATAATTAACAGGCCACCATTAGCTGAGAACTAGCCCCACCTGGGTCCTTGCCATGAGATAAACCACAGTGGCTAGAACTCACCAGTCAGTGGCAGCTGAGCGGGTTCATTCAGTCTTGTTTGTTGGACACTCTCTGTTGCTTTTCAATCCAGACCCAGCAGCTTGGCCCCCAGCACGGCAGCCGCGTGGCTCCAGTTGTTCCGAAGTGCTGGGAAGCAAGGGTCTGCCTAGAGTCCACGGGGGTCCAGCTTTCTGTGCCATCAGCATTTTATCAGCCCAGACCCCTTGCCCATCCTTCTGTTCCCCCACTGTAGGGCCACCACGACGGCAGTGGAGACTGCATTCTGGGACCCGGGCGCGCCCTGGAGAGCACCTGGGGACCCCCAGCCTGCTTTTGGAATGATGCTTAAAGTGCCAGGGGTTGTGATTCAGTGAGTTCCTGATAGTTTTGCTAGTGAGCAGTGACTAGCTCAGCCTGGGTTCCTTCCCGGTGGACGTTTGCCCCTGTTGAGACCCTCCAAGCAGCCTTTTAGTTCGAATGTGTACCAAGGAGATACATGAAATGTTTCAAAGGTCATAATATCTGCCATTGTGAACACTGAGCATGTGGTCATCAGCTCACTAAAATTTTTTTTAAATTAATCTGTCATCTCCTTTAAACTTGATGATGTTCATGAGGGATGGGTATAACTGCCTGTGTAGAGGTGAGGACTCAGGCTTAGAGAGGTTGGACTATTTGCCCGAGGCTCCCAGGAAGTGATCGAGCTGGGAATGGAGCCCAGGTGTGTCTAGCTCAAGAAGCCCTTCCTTTAAGTTCTGCGTCGCTGGGCTTCCTAGTGCCAACACGACAGTGTCACGGCTGCCAGAGATAACAACCCTGAGAGCTGGGAGAGCAGAGCGTGGGCACGGTGTCTGCTGGGGGCACTGCGGTCCCAGACTCAGGCTGGAAACTTGTCCTGCCATTTCTAGCTGTAGAAACCCCAGCAAGGTGTTTGGCTTCCCTGAGCCTCCCTTTCCGCACTTGCAGAATGAGGCCTTAAATAATTGTGTCTGCAAAGGGAAAGGAAGAAATCAAAGAAGAGAGGAAGGCATCCAAGTCATCCCAGCTGGGCCGCTGGGTGGGGAGAGTGAAGGAGGGATGGCCTTGGGGGAGAAAACCTGGAGTTCCACCCTGGAAACATGAAGTGTGAGTTGCCTGAAGGGTGTCTGAGTGGCTTTGTTGTGAAAGCGGCATTGTAGGGAACAAACGTGATCATGTACGTGAGTCGTGTCACAGGCCCTGGCAGACAGCCCGTGCTCATGGAGTGTCAGGTGCTTTTATTAACAATGATAAGTGGTTTTATTTTTACAAAATCACCACGCATTTTGGATGAATAAGCTTTGTGAAATATGTTGAATAAAATGTGGCCACATTATTTATTTTCTTTTCTGTCGAGCCCTGTTAAGTTCTGGAAAGTATTCAGGGATCAGAATGAGACAGCTTTACATGCTTTCTCACCAGCCTCTCAGGCCCCTGCTGTTTACAGAAACAGTTTTCTGTCCTGATGTTATATTTCTGATGTGTGAGTGTGCTTTAGAAAAAAAAAATAACCACACCATATCACTACGCTCAGTGGTACAGTTTTTTCATTTTGCTGTTACAAATCTCTACTTCTCGAGGGTGGAAACTGAGCTTGATAACGTCTCATGAAGAGGGAATGCAGGCCCTCCCTCGGGGTTGCAGAATGCACTGAAGCAAACTGACTGGTGAGGCTTTTGTGGACTTGAGGCAATTTAACTTAATTTGTTTAAAAGGTATTTTTGTCTTCACTGTCTAAAATGCCTTTTGCTAATGTTTGATACTGTGTTATACTATATGTGAATCCAGGCAGGTGAACCTTCTTGCGCACGCAGCACTGCGGGACGCTAAATGCGCCCTCTCAGACGTCTATGGAATACGGTCTTCTCTGGGAGAGACTGAAACTCATGCTTTTATTCCTTTTCCAAATTAAAATTCTAAATTGTGAAAGGTGGTTTCATCTTTAAAAGCAGGTGATGTTCAGTTCAGGGTTTTCTGTGCTCAAAAAAGTTTACCTCCCAAGTGTTGAGATTTGATTGGGCAGAGCTCAGCAGACGTTGGAAGTTTTCCTTTGAGCTGACTGGGCCTTTCCGATGATCCCAGTAGATATAGTCCTGTTCAGATCAAACTTTAGAACTTGTCAGGAACCCACCACGAGACAGTAAGGCATCTGCTAACTCATCTCTTAGGAAGATACCAGGGCATTAATTTATCGAACAGTCACCACATGCCGGAGCCGGCTCCAGGTTCTGAAGGGAGCCATGAAAGAGACGTGGCCCGTGCTGCCTCGAGCTTGTACTCATGAGGGGGACACATGCATTAACAAGTGGAACCAAATAGTTACAGTCATAAGTGCTTTAAGGAAGTAAAGGGCCCCATGATGAAGAGCACCATCGGAAGGTGAAGCCTCTGCAGTGACTCAGGGCCCCTGCCAGCGTGGAGCTGGAGTCTGAGCCTCCAAGGAAACAGCTCAGGCCGAGTCCCCAAGGTGAAAAGAGGCTTAGGATGTGCTTGGGGGTACACAGAGGTAGCAGGAGGCCCCCGGAGGGAAAGCACATTGTGCAGGGGAGCATGGCGTCAGGTAAGACCAAAAAGATGCTGACATTACCGACAATGACAAGAAGTTTGGATTTCATCCCAAGTGCAGAGGGAGGTCATGGAAGGGCATTTAAGCACAGGAACCATAGTCTGATGTTTTAATGTTTTAGAAAACCACTCTGGTTGCTCTGTGGAAGGTGGATTTCAGAAGGATAAGAGTAGAAGCAGAGAGACCAGTTAAGAAGCTTTGGTGATCATTCAGATGGAGGACAATGCTACTGTGGACGGGGCTGGTGTCTGTGAAGATGGAGTAATCAAGATGGGTAGATTCTGGGTGGTTTTTAGAAATCACAGGATTTGTTTACAGATTGGTGTAGAAGGCAAGAGGCAGGAAGAAATCCGGGAAGCTTGAGGAACTAGTTGGTGGTGCTATTTACTGAAACTGGGGAGATGGGGACAAGAATGGCTGTGGCGGGGGGTGGGGGCTGCTGCAAATTCTTTAATTTTGGGAACTGAAATGCCTGTGACACCTCCAGGTGGAGATGAAACAGACATCAGAGATCAGTGTGGACTCAGAGTAGGGGGTTCTGAGCTGAAGAGAGAAATTTAGGAGTTAACAGCACATAGATAGTGCTAAAAACCATACACCCTTACAGAGAGAGTGCAAGTAAAGAAGACAGTCCTGAGTTTGGTTGGGGAAAAGCACCAGCAGGTGACACGGAAATAGTGTCCAGGAGGTCGGCAGACACTAGGTCACAGAAGCTGAGAGGGGGTGATATTTCAGGAAGGAAGGGTGGGCTGGTGCGTCACATGGCACTGAGGTGTCCAGCAGGGTGAAAACATAGCATGTCCTGGGTCCAGGGGTTGTTGGTGATTTTGACAAGGCCTTTTCGGAGAGATGGGGACAGAAGCCAGGCCCTAGTGGGTTTAAGAGCAAATGGGAGGTTAGATCATGGAGATAATATGTCAACAAACAATACTTGTTTGAGAGGATTTGCTGAAAAAGAAAGCAGAGAAAGGAAAAAGAAAGCTGAATGATGGAGAGAGAATTGGATTCAAGGGATAATGAGAACTGCTGTTGCGTGTGTATGTGTACGTGCATGTGTTGAGGGGATGCTGAGGAAGAGGGTTAATGACTGGTGTGGGAGAGAGGAGGTAGCTGAAGGAGTGATGTCCTGGAGAAGGCAAGAAGGCTGGTGATGTTAAATTTGGACCTCTGTCTCAAGGGCCTCCCATTCTGGCCCTAAAGATAAGATCAATTCAGAATAGACTGCAGTCAGGTGCTAAATTCTGTGCCCCTGATTGCATGTATTCTGATAACTCAGAGTCACCAGTGGAGGCTGGCTCGATGCTGGGGCTTTCCAGGAGAAGGTGGCAACACTCAGTGGGACCCTGAAGGATGAGCAGAGGTAAAGAAGGGACGGTAAGAGTGCTGATGAAAGCGCATGGAATCCAGCAAGTAGATGGGGACTGGCACGCAGGAGCCCCCCTGTTTGGAGGGGGCTTTCTCATGGAATGGGCAGCGGAAAATGCGGGCGATTCAGCCAAGACAGATGAGGGCTGTTGAGTACCAGGCAGAGGAGATATTTGATCAGTGGGAGCTGGCTGTGCCCACAGGCAGGCACCCAGATGATGAAAACCGCAGCCACACTGGGGGTGTCTGGATGAGGAGGGTTCGCTGCGCCCAGGGTCAGGATGCAAGATAACCCAGACCTGAAGTTCCGAGTCCTCAGGCAAGGGTGGCAGTGGTGGGAATGGAGAGGAAGTGACAGGCCTGAGGGGTGTTGGGGGAGGAACTGCCTGGATCTAATCAGTGTGACTGCCAAGGGCAAAGAGAACAGAGAAGCGGGGGATAATCAGGGTTCCTCGCCTGAGGATCTGATGGCATCAGGAGTCGTTGGGACTTCTGAGATTCGGGGAAGCACACATTGTCCAGAAGGGGCTACAGGATTTTGTAAAAATGTTGAGAGGTCTGTGCTGCAGACCCAGTCATTTCTGGACTGAATGGCACCTTTCCCTTGCCTGTCTGCGTGGGTGGCTGTCAGAGCTGCAGACTGGGAGAGACAGAGACCAGTTCCAAGGGTCTCTTTTTCTTGGCTTGGAATTGATTTATACTCTTGTATTACTTTAATATGCTTTTGCTCTGAAACCCTGGGAAGTGAATTTTGTTATTCAGCCCATCAGAACATTCCGATTTGGCAGATTCTTTTTCAGTTTAAAGACTTGCCTAAGAAAATAAAATCCATAAAAATCCCAACATTTTGTCTTCCCCTTTTGTTCTATTTTAAATATTGTAAATGAAATTGGAGAATAGAGAGTTCAGCTTCCCTTTGCAGGGTGTGAAATGTGATTATTTCTTGTCTTTATCTCTCTGTGTGTCTTGGGATTTCGCCTCCCTCTCCTCCTCGAAAGCCTCTTAGTCCTCTCCACAAACCACCTGCTTCCTCAGGGGCTACTGCTCCCAGTCTGCAGGGACTTTCAGGGTCAGAGAATGTCCTCCGGGGCCCCCCACAGGCCGTCCCCGTCATAACACCTCTGTCCATCTGCTGCAGCAGCTCCTTACCACGTCAGGAAGGATCCAGAGTCTTGTTTGCAGAAGGAAGAGATTATTACAGTACCTGGCGGGAGGAGGAGGGGAAAAGCCCAGGTTTCTGGCTCTTACCCTTAAGCTGTAAATTCTCAAGGACTCTCTTATAAATCTCCTGGAATCGCTGTTGGAAATCCACATTCCAATGGAGAGCAGCATAGGGTTATCAGACAATCATTTCTGAGGCCTTCCTCCCAACCCAGCTCTGACACTTTGAAAAAAAAACTTCAGAATAAAACTGCAGAGTAAACCTCCATTTTTATAGTGTTGTTTTTCTTATTTGGCACACAAAAAATGAGATTTCCCCAGCTGGTATGTCCAGAATTTCTCCTGTCTTCTGCGGGTGCACAACTGCACAGAAATATACAAACACACGTACCAGCACACCTCTCAGATGCCATAGGACTGTCCTCATAAGTGGACAGAAGTACCAGCCATGTACTTCAGGACCAGCCATACCTCTCTGAAGTTAGGCCTCTGTAATTAGACAGCATCTAGAGTTAGATATTCCACCTGGACACTCTCTTGCCTTAAAAAGACTGTGCTGCCTCAGAGAATTTCTAATGAGTTGTCTTTTTTCTCTCCTTCCAGAGGGCCAGTTGAGAGTGGATGCCAATATATCTGTACATCACCCTGGGGAGCCTTTGGGTGTTCGAACAGAAGTGAAGAATCTCAACAGTGCCAGGTTCTTGGCCAGAGCAATAGGTGAATGTCAGCTGTTACTAATCATGTGCCTCTTTGTATCAGTTATCTGTTGCTGTGTAACAAGCACCTCTCCCCCAACTTAATGGCTTACATGGTAATATTTCAGATTTAGTTCTGTGGGTTGGGTGGTTTCGCTGCTGGTCCTGCTGCAGCTCATTACTGTGGATGTGGGGAGTCAACAGCTCAATTGAGATGAAGGGTTCAAAATGACCTCGCTCACGTGTTGGGGCCTTGCTGCTGGACATCTGCTGGGTTTCTCTGCGTCACATGATTTTCTTCATTCCCTTACCTCGCTTGGGTCTTCTTAAGTGACAGAGGGGGCTTCCCAGGAGGGTGAAGGCAGATGCCCCAAGACCTCTTGAGTCCTCAGCTCTAGAACTTGCACAGTGTCTCTTCCAGCACATTCCATTCAAAGCAGATTCAAGGGGAGGGGAAATAGACTCCACCCCTATGGGAGGATCTGCAGAATTCTGCAGCTCAGTTGTTCCAGGTACCGCACTCTTGAGCAGCCTGAACTTCAGAGTCATATTTGTTCCTTACAGGTTGGCCCCAGTTTGACCCAGTTGGTCAGTATGTTTTTCTGCTTTTTATTGTTTTAACTAATTGGTTTCTTGGGCCTATGTAATCAAGTATTGGTCTTGCTGGAGCACATGCTGTGGATATTTCAGTGGTGATGGATGTATACTAAAAATTAGAACAGTTGAGCAAGATAAACATCTGGGGCAGTACCAAAGAAGTTGATGACTGACTGTGAGGGGAGGACATCTCCGAGGAATGAAAATATTCTGTAAAACCAGAGTTATCTGGTGTGGGTGGGGAGGGTAGAGCACGTGCTTAGCATGCATGAGGTCCTAGGTTCAATCCCCAGTACCTCCATTAAAGAAATGAATAAATAAACAACTGAATTACTTCTCCCCTCCAAAAAAAAAAAAAAGATACAGTACTGTATGTCATTTATATCTCAATAAAACTAGAAGGAAAAAAATAGTTTGTTTTTTTTTTAAGCCAGAGGTATCTAGAGAGGAAGAGAGACAAGGGAAGAGGTGGAGTTTAAAGAGCAGCCTTCAGGGTGCACTGAACACGGGGCAGGTGAGGGTGTCGTCACAGCCGAAGGGTTAGTAGGTTCCTGGGTGTTAATGATACCACGGGAAAGATTTTCTAGTCTGGTATAAAACCTTATTCTGTTGAACCTAAAATGATCAACTAGCCTCAGCGAAGACACTCTTGAGTCCACGAATTTTCAGGAAGAAGGCATTAAAAGGTCAAAGGGATGACTCACAGGCAGGGAAGTTGCCCATATGAAGGTAGACTAAACAGGGTGGTCTCTTCTGTCTCTAAAAGGAGACACAGTCTGTATTTCTGAAGCCGTGAAAGGTTTGGGTCAGGAAGAACCCTTACAGCTCAGGTTTGTGAGGGAAAAGCTTGGAGCCGATGGAAGGAAGATCCACTTCACCGTGTAGGTGGTGAGTGTTCTGGAAGTCATTATTCTGAGAGGTGACGGTAACCTAAAAAGACAAACAGCAGGGTTTTAGGTAGACTCACGCCTAATGAGTAATGAAGGAGACCCTGCCCTAACCCTCTGTTGTCCTATGAGGGAGCCTTTGGAGCAACAAATGGTCTGAGGCAGATTCTCCCTGTGGTCAGACTCAGACTGGAAGGCCCGGAGCTTTGTGTTAGGGGCTTACTTCTCCAAGCCTGTAACTTTTCCACCCAGTTTTTCTCCCTCCATCAGGCCTTTTGCCACCATCTTGGTGTTGCTGCTTTTTATCAGCTCAGAAAAGGGTTTGGATTTGGGTCAGGGAAGGTGATGTCCGCTGGGTGGGGAGTTCAGGTGGCTGGAGGCTGAAGCTGTTTTCATAGTGAAGCTCAGCTTGTTTGGATGACCAGCTTTGCCCTGTTTGGTGGGAGGGAGTGTGGCGTAGAGCAGGGGCTGTTAATCATTTGGGACCATAGATCCCTTTGAGAATATAATGAAAATTCTGGACCCTCCCTCCAAGAAGGTGTACATATGCACACACCTGCATTTTATGTATGATTTCAGGAGGTACCAGAACCCCTTGAAGCCCATCCATGGATCCCAGGATAAGAACTCCTGATAAACAGCAATCCGAAATCTGGAGTCACTTGGCCTGCATTTTGGTCCTAGCCCTTCTCCTGCCGAGCTGTGTAATCTGTACTGGTCACTTAATCTCTCTGAACCTGTGTTTTCTCAAAAAGTGAGGGAGCAGGACTTCCTAAAAGGCCCTTCCCAGCACTATTATCCTGACAGCAAGAAGAGAACATGGCATGTGTGGGAGGAATGACTATAAGCAACTCCCTTGATTATTTTTTGACATAAGGATTGAAAGATTTCTAATTATTGCTGAACTGGGTGGAAGGACTCAAAATATGATACTAAACTACTATTTTTTTTTTAGACTATGAAATTCAGAGGCAAATCAGTGAACTGGAGAATGGAGGTGAAATTCTGAATGAAACGCGTTCGTTCGATTACAAGCTGGGGTGAGTTCTCATTGACAGCATCTTGAACACAGGTAGATGGGGCTCCAGCCTGGGTTCACCGCAGTCACCTTGGAGAAGGTACTTAGCTTCTCTGCACTTTGCTTTCCTCATTAGTGAAGTTAGGAAAATGCTGTACGGGGATGTGATACACCCTATAGGGCTGGTGAGAGTTTCACCTGACCGAACCAGACCTGCTCAGTCACAGGTCCTGGCCCTTCCCCAGCTTCCAGTTTATATCCTTTGCACCAAGAGTTTTTACTTCCTTAAATTCTATCGGTCCTAAGCTCTGCCATTTTAAGCTAGAGGTGGAGGGAAGCTCAGAGCTGGTTGTAGAAGTGCCTTCTTCTGTTTGGATAACTCCGAGTCTCATTTTCTGACTCTAAATTTTAAGGGTTTTATACACTTAGCAGAAGACTGAGAAGAAATGTTCAGAAGCTTGGAGTTTGAGCTGTTAAATGTTAGAAACATTGAAATAATTTATTTTCTTTTTAAATTATCATGCTAAACATTTCTTTCTTTAGTATTATTGCTGAAATGTATTCATATAAATGTCTCCCAAGAAAGGCCAAGATGCTGGAATCTCCTGTCGTCTACTGATTGGGGAATCCCTGTCTGCATATGCACTTGCCAATGCTACATGCAGCCTTTTTTTTTTTTTTTTTTTTAACGTTTTCTGATTTAACTGTCATAGGTGCACCATGCCGATGAGAGACAAAGAAGGAAAACAAGACTACAGGTGATTACTCCTCTTGTCAAAATACCGTTCTGCATTCGGGGTTGGGGCTCATTTCAGATCCACTTGCAGACCAACGTGATGATCCTAGGAACCCCTTTTTGTGGTTGCATGATGGAAAATCTAGACTTCCTATTTTATGTGTATACTGAGAGAAAGAATATTTCTTGGACTTGGTATCCTTGGAGCACCTTACTTGACATAATTCAACAGTTAGAAAACACTGTTCACTCACCTCTGTGTCAGAGTTGTTGCAGTTAAGCCCAGAGGATGGCAGCTGCGGGTGGGGCCTGGGCTCTTCTTACTTCATATTCAGTGACAAACTCAGTAACACACTGAAAGTCTGTGAGAAGATAGAAAAAAGAGATGTTTATGTTAATGGCAGTTCCCTTCAAACCTCAGGTGATGCTATGTGATTGATAAATTTAACAAATCAGACTTAATATGAGGTCCAGAAGTAAAGCAAATAATAAGGATAGCTTAAGAGCAATTGAACCTTTCATTTCTTGCCTGTGTTGAGTTTAGCATGCTGCAGAAATTGAAGATTTAAGCAACAGAGTTATGGAGATTGGCCCACCTTTCCTATGCAGCGTGCAGGGAGATGTCAGAGTAGCCATTGCTGTTGATGAGGAACAGACGTAGCACTGGGATGTGGGGAAGAAGCAGCTCATAAACCCTCAGGGTGAATGTCACCTCGGGGACTCCCCTCGTGTGTCCGTCAAAGTCACCCTTGCTGTTACTGTGATCTTCTAGGTTCAGTCTCTTCTTCCCAAAACATTCTTGTTCTCCAGTGTTGCCCCTACTCTGTTTTTGCCACTTTCTCACTGAGCATGGAGTTTGGCTTTTAGCTCAGCCGATGGCTTCAGCTCAATCCCCCAGGTGAATAGATGGGATTCAGGAAGCCTCCCTTTGGTTTCCTCTTGCCTTCAGAAGTCAGACTGATTCATAGCACAGATTTGGCGTCGAGGTGATAGGTCGCCTGCACGTCTGATCTATTGCCTTGGAGCTGCCATTTATTCTGCATTATCCTGCTTCTGCATAAGCCCTTTGACAAGTATGGGCTGAGAGAAACGTTAGATGCTGGAATAGAACAAAGGGAAGGTCATCTTTGTTTCATAAGAGTATATGTAGTGGTGCGGCTTCCACGCTTTTAAAAAAGTTAATTGACTTTTTTAGAGCAGTTGTAGGTTTACAGCAGAATTGAGTGGAAATTACGGTTCCCATAAACTCCTTGTTTTATGCCATAAACTTCCTCCGCCTCACACACACACACAGATTCCCCCGATGACATCTTGCGTTAGTGTGTAGTGTGGTAACGTTTGTTAAAATTGATGAGCCGGTACTGATACCTTACTATTAACTAAAGTCCGTACTTTACATGAGGGTTTGCTCTTTATGTTGTACATTCTGTGGGTCTTGACAGATGTGTAATGGCATGTCCCCACCGTTACAGTGTCACACAGAACAGTTCACTGCCCTGAAAATCTCCTGGGCTCTACCCCTCCCACCCTCCCTCTCCCCTCGTGTCTGTATTATGTTTAGGCAAAATCCATTTTTTCTTTTTCTTTTTCTCTGACTTTTCATTTATTCCTCAAAGATTGCTAGAAATTTTGAAAATATAAAAATGAAGGACATCATCTTTCTTCCTAAAAACTGTTCTCAAGTTGGTCCTGTTTCTTCCCGCCTGTGTCTTTGTGAATATGTACTTTATCCACAACTATAGATCACAGCACAGCTTCAACCCTGTCTTGCGCCTTTTTCACTCAGCGCTAGTTTGGAAACATGGAGAGTGGGGGGTTAGATTGTTTTGACTGTACTTTATACCCGTACAGGGGCTAGTTCCTAGGAAACCAGGAGACTTGATATTTGGGGTTAGAAAATTTTTACAAGTCGCATGGCTTCTAGACACAAACCTCCATGTTGATGACAGGTGTGTTCCCTCTAAGCAAACCAAGTACTCAGAGGCAGGCCGTCTCCTCTCTCCGCCCAGGTTCATGCCGGAGCCCAACCTGCCCCCGCTGCTGCTCTATGACTCGGCGTCCCTGCCTGCTGGCGCAGACCCGCAGCAGGTGATCAACATTGACCAGATCCGGGAGCAGCTCCCTGAGCTGCCCAGCGTAACCCGGGAGAAACTGGTGCAACGGTACGGGATGCTGCCAGAGCACAGCTTCGCCTTGCTGGTGGGTATCGATCAGGAGGCTGCAGTGAGCTTGGCAGCTGGGGATGCTCTGCAGGGGGCTGCGGGTGGAGCGTCCCGACGGCTTCAGTTGTACTGCAGAACGAGATGTGGTGACCTTGGCTCACCAGCCCTTATGATTAGTGCGCCTCAGAAAACGAGACATGGCGTCTCCTGTCAGTCAATTCTTGTGTATAGAAGTGAACAGTCACCCACCACTGCCGGGGAGGCGTCTTGAAGACGGTCCAGCTATAACGGATGAATGTTTCCCTGTGCATCTGGGAGACAAAGGAAAATCAATGTATAGGCTTTCCAGATGTCTGGCAGTATTGAACCATGACAGGGTCTGGCAGGAAGCTGGGCTCTCAAAAAGCCAGCCAGTTGTATTACTGCTTGTAGAGGGAAACATTCCACACAAAATGCCAAAAACTCGGACCAGAAGTGTCGGTCCTGAGGCTTGAGAATGCTTCTGAAGAGAATCTGACACCGCGCAGATCTGTCAGGGATTTTCCATCCTCCCAGGGCTGCTGGGACTTTGTAGTTTCCCTTTGTCACGGCAACGTTAAAGCGACACAGATGCCATGAAGTGGCATTCCATCACGGATGCCTTCCTGCCTGTCAGGGAGGAAGTGGCAGGTCCTGCTGCGTCTCTCGGGGCAGGGTGTCCGCTGCACTCATCGTGGGCAGCACGTGAATCGCTGGGAACGCCAGAGCTTTGCATTTTAATTGACCCATAATAACACATAGGGATATCAGGGGATTCATACTTGTGTGCAGACTTACCCACTTCAGTAACAACACCCTGCTGTTTCTGGTCCAACACAGGCCAGCGAATGTTGAATGAATGAGTCTTTCTGTATCATCTGTTAATCAGCTAATCTGAAAAGTATCCAGAGAGTATCCAAAACTCGGTTTTGGTAAATCGACTTCAGAAAAACACACAAGTCCTAAGAGGCTTCAGGTTAAAAGGTGTTCCGTACAAGCTGCACATGAAGGCTCTCACCACCGGGATTGGACACAGTGGGTTATTTTCTCATCGTTGGAGTTGATCGCTGCCTCCTCTGGACTGCTGTTGTCTCGTACTCACACCTCTGTGGCAATTACATCGGCTGTATTTTAATTATTTATTAATTAATGTATTTTGTTCAGTGCCTTGAACACAAGGACTGTTTCATCCTCTCGCTTTGTCACTCGGCAGATTAGCTCATCAACAGTGCTAATTAAGCGCATTAAGCCAAATCTTTGTGTGAGTCAGTTCGTCTTCGTGAGTCAGTTAGTCTGCATCTTGTTCAGAGCACCTTTTAACCTGAAACCTCTTAAAACTCACCAATTTTTCCTAAGTTGATTTAACAAAACTGAGTTTTAGCCTCACACATCTTCCCCACCATCTTGAATTTCCAGCCCACTTGAAATAAACTTCAGACTAAACACTAAAGCCTAAATTCCAGTCCTGCATTTAGTAACATGTTTGCCGAATTCTATAACGGATGGGAGGACCCAGACCGAGCCTCTGCCGCCGCAGACGGTGCCCTCACCTGCCCCGGCAGGAAGCCCCTGCGGCAGAGACACGTCTGTATCTGTGCCCGGGCCCCACGCCTCTGTCTTTCAGGTGCCACAGCCTCGGAGGCCTTGAATAAATGTTTGCTGAAGGTGGCAAGTGATGAGTGGGTCTCACTTTTCATAGTTTAAGGCCCTGTTTAGGGGAACTTCTTTTTGATCTATTCATTTCAGCACTTTTATTAGCATCTCCTATGTAGCAGGTACTGAGATAGGGACAAAGTTGTTTTGTTTTTTTTTAATGTTTTCTTTGCTTTCTAAGAGCGTGCGTGTGTGTGTGTGTGTGTGTGTGTGTGTGGCACTGCAGCTAACCAACTCCGGGGCAGGCTGCAATATACAACGTAGGCTGGGAGCCCAGAGGAGGTAATGATTACCTTGATGGGACAACAGGGGGAAAAAACTCAAGAAGAGGGTGGTTTTGAGCCAGTTTTGTAGGGACTTACTCTTTCGATGTATTAAAAATATGCTTATTTTTACAGCTTGCAAATAATGTATTAGGTGATTAGTTTGGGTTTTTTTTTTTTTCAATATATGTAATGTCTAGTACTAGAAATTCTCAAGACAGGTGAGAAGCGAACTTGATAGGAATAGACAGAGAATGATTCAGACGTTTTCCTGAAATTCACCATCCTGAGCTCCTGATGACTTGGGTAATCACTGGAAGCTGAGTTACTCATAACATACTCATAACAGTGTGTCCGTGTTTTCTCCTGCCTTCATCAGAAACACAACAGATTGCCAAGAAGGGCAGATGCACAAATCTAATGAACCATCTTTCAATTTAAAGAGTGCCCAGGAGTGTTCATTAAATCAGTAGCTGTGGTGGAGGTGTGCTCTGCAGAGCTCTGACTCCATGCTTCTGCTTCCGGATCGCTCATTAATTAAACATGATGCACATACCCACCCCCACACAGGCCTCACCCACCAACAACAAAAACTTTAAAACTCAACTCTAGCCTTTAACTTATCCTGTCATCTTACAGCACTGATTGCGAATTGATCATTTCTTCTTGGTATTTACAGAGCTCTGATGTGGGTGTATCTTATCACCCGACACAATGTCTGGCACACAGGAGGCATCCGTGAATGGCTGGACAGACAAGCAGATGAACAGGGCACTATCATGGTGCATAGGGAGGTCCTGGGAGAAGCAGCAATCCTATTAAGCGTCCCTGTTTCCGAAGGTTGGATACATAAACCATTGACCACATGAACCCTTTTGACAGGCCAGCAAGTCAGGGGGTGGCGTGTGGGTCCCTGAGCTCCGGGAAAGAAGGCTGATATTTGCCCCTCAGCCACTCCACGTGCAGTGGCCGGCCACAGGTCCCTCGGTCTCTCTGACTCTTGTCTTCTGAACTGGTTTCTTTAGGACATTAAATCAACTCTACGTTCTGATTTTGTCTCTTAAACCCTCCTGAGAATCCCCTCCCAAGAGATAAACCCGTATTACTGTTTTTTCGTCTGGCCTCATAAAAAGTACCTTGCCCCACGTGAAATTTCAACCTACTTAGCTAACCTTTCTTCCCTACCTTGTGTCAAACTCCCTTGATTTCTGACCTCATTTGTAAGGATCAAGGAATAGAAATCCAGAAGCTGAGATCTCGGCGTTAGAATTCTGAAGTAGGAGAGACTCTAATAGCCTAGCAGGTCCTTTTCTGAGCCAGTGTATCCAGGAGTAATTATTAGAATGGTCTAGATTATACACATGTGCATTTTCCTTAGCTGATAACCCAGGTGATTTCTGTGGGGGATCTCTTCTTAAACTCAGCTTTACTGAACTCAGAACACAAACGAATTGCAGTCACTGGCCTGACAAGCAGCCCGGAGTAGAGGCTGTTGGCTGACAGCAGTCTCTGCAGTTCATGGCGGACCACCTTCTCATCCGTGCTCCCAGCATCCTCGAGGTCGGTACCGTCCACCTCCCCATCCTCCCGGGGAGGAAACGTCACCTCTGTGGGTAAGTGTCAGATGCTGAGTGACTTCGTCAGGCCTGTGGGGAAGCTGAGTTCAGGGCCCAGACTTTTCTAAGCTCTCCTGCCTGCTGGCATGTGTCATGTGCCATAAGCCCAAACAGAAATAATGTTTCAAGTTCATTGCTATTTGGCTCACTTAATAGAGAAAACAGAGTGTTTACAATTGTTGATATGAATGCTTTATCTGGCCCCACTGATGCTTCATGAAGCACGGTCATAGAACATCAGTTCCTTTTAAACTTTTGCCCACCCTTTAGGTTTTTAAGATGCCAGACTGTCCTATAAATAAACACAAAGTGCTGGCTACTATACTTAGTGAAAATCAATCAACTCCAATGAAGCGCAGAAATTATGTTTATTTTCTAAGTAGAAAATTTAAGTCCGAAAAGAAATGTAGGCTCTCCTCTGCAGTTTTACTTACTTTGATTCTTAGACTTTCTGCCATTGGTCCTTGGCCCCTTCTGGCTGAGTCATTGAGAAGGGCCTCCGCGCAGGGTGGGGCGGGGGTGGGTTGTGGATTCTGTGGGATGGTTCTGCCCAGTATCTAACGTCATGCACTTGGTAAGGGACACATGTGAGCTCACAGCGTGACTGGCAGAAAGATTCCAGTGGAGGAAGGGCAGAGCGGCCCCAGATCAGTGCTTCCCGAGAGCCCGCGGTGCTCATCACAGCGCCCGGTCCTGCTGTCAGATGTAAGAGCTTTATCTTTTCCGGGTTGTTGGTAACTCTTCTGAGTAGCCCTGCGGGTCAGTGATTGAGAGACAGACGCTCTGGGTCCCAGACCTCACCTCTGACACTTAGGAGCTGGAAGGGCCCAGCGAACGTGCCCACAGCTGTCCCCTCCCCAGAGGAAGGAGGAGGGGTGTGAGTCAGTTACCCCGAAGGTGACAGGCACAGGGCATCTTCAGTGAATCGAAAAAATCTCAGTACAGCCAAGCAGATTGCTGGGAACAGGCTGGCACGGAAAAGAGCACCGGGCAGCTGCTAACACATCAAGAGCCGTGCGAGGCAGGATCTTAAGGAAAACCCGACACGGCCCCAGCGAGACTGTCGGGAGACGTGACTGAGACCCTCCAGGGCAGTGCCTTGCTGCCGCACGCGTCTGCCTGTGTGTGCAACCTCAAGGCGTGTGGTCTTGTTTGAACAACTTCATTCCCGCAGCTGGTTATTCCCCATTTAAAGTCATAATCTTTTGTTTCTGACATCATGGAAAAGGTTAAGGTGTCTCTAGGGAACAAAGAAACAAAGTATGTCATGACTGTGGTTGGTTGTCAAATGGATTGTTTTTCAAGAGTTTTGCTTTGAGTCTCTCGTTAGCTGGAAATGGCCTGGTTTTCTATCTGGATGAATTGCCTAGGAAATAATTCCCTGTGATAAATAGCTGTGTATCCCATAGGTAATGCTGCTTTAAAGCTAGTAGTTTAAAAAAGCATCTGAAGCCTTATTGACTGGTTTTAGACTGCCCTGACTTACC